CGCTGCTAATGCATAGGACACAATGCATAGGACAGCCCATACAATTAAGAATTATTTCCAGCAAAAAAATGTCAGCAGTGTCAAGGTTGAGAAATTCAGACTAGTACACATACGAAGCAAATTGTAGATAAAAGTGTAAACAGCAGGAAATCATACCATCATCTTTATTACTGGTAAGGCCTAGGTTGGAAACACTAATCTGGCTCAGTAAAAAGAGTACCTGCCTAGCATGTGCAAGGCCCTGGATCCTATTCTGAGTGCCAAGGAAAGACTGACTAGTATATGTGCAGGCAAGTAGACTTCTTCCTACTAATTCTTATCCATGCAGCCACATAGGCAACTATGTTCCCCAAGTGAAGTCAGGATCCCCTAAAAGTCCTAGCATGTAAAATTAAGAACATGTGCTCCCTCCAGGTTATCAGCTCCTGGGAGAAAAGGAGTTGACCATGACCACCATGTTTTCCTGCTATTGAAAATAAAGAGGTGGAAAAGCCAGTGTCACATCATTTAACTCACCTCAAAGGGAAAAACAAAGAACAAAACAAAAACATAGTTAACATGAAATTAACCTCAGTAGTATTTATACCATGTAAATCATACGACCTTACAAATAAGTTACACCGCCCCCCATCTTAAATAAGAGGTCTTTTTTTCTAATGTAGAAACATTAAAAGTTCCTGTGGAACTCATGATTTAAAGAATCCTGAAGAGGACTACAGAAATGGCTCAGCGGTTAAGAGATTGGCTGCTCTTGCAGAGGACCCAGGTTGGATTCCCAACCCCTTCATGGCAGCTAACAACTGTCCCTAACTCGGGAGATACAATGCCTTCTTCTGTCCTTTTTTTTAAGACCCTGTCTTAAAAAAAAAAAGACCAAAAATAAGAAAGAGGGAGAGGGAGGGAGGGAGGGAGGGAGAGAGAGAAAGAGGGAGGGAGGGAGGGAGGGAGGGAAGAAGCTTGCTAGCTTCAGGCATGACCTGAATTGGAGAAGCCAGTGAGAAACTGAGTGACCGCAGCTCCAGCCCATCCTGGGCAGCCAGGCCAGTGGCCCTAGGCAGCCAGGTTGCAGATCTTCTCGGCTGAGGTGTAGGTCAGGCTGGACCATGTTTTCCAGGACACCGCTTCCTGCCTTGAGGAGCTCTTCTGTGGTCCTCACGGACTTGTGCATAGGACAGGTGTGCCTTTTTGAAAATGGGTTTGGGTTTTGGGGATTTTTTACCTTTTTACTTATTTATGGTTCTGGGGATCAAAGACAAGACCTTGCCTATTTGCTAAGCAAGCAGCTCCACAACTGCCCTGCATCCACAGCCCTTGGATCTTAAGTAGTTATGCAATTAATTTTTGCAATACTGGGATTGAGCCCACAGCCTCCTACATGCTACGTGGTTTTCTCCAACCTGCCTTTCTTTCTCTCCTTTTTTTTTTTCTTTTTCAGACAGGGTCAGGTCAACCTGCCCATCATGGCCTCCAGTCATCCTGCCCTGCCTCTTCCTGGTGGCACTGGTGTGGCAGACATGTACCATCACATCCCAGCCTGTCCTGCTTCACTTTCAATCCCATGACCTCCCATCCAGACACAGGGATTCTTTTTCCATTTGGGAACAACTGTTTTTTTTGGTTGTGTTTTTTGTTTTTGAGTCAGGGTCTTCCTGTAGCCCCAGCTGGCCTGGAACTCACTGTGTAGACCAGGCTGGCTTCCATCTCACAGAGATCCACCTGCCTCTGCCTCCTGAGTGCTGGGATTAGAGGTGTGCACCACCACACCCTCGCTGGGAACAACTACTTAAAATTTATATTGGAAATACAGTGGTTGGTGGTGGGGGGTGGATGGAGCCTGTGCACTGCTTGGCACATTGTTCCTACAGATGTTTATGAGGTTTGCTTTCATTCTAGTAGTCTGTGGTGCTTCCAATAGCACTTCAGTTTGCATGGTCAGAAGCAGCACTGGACAGTTCTTTCCATGGGTGTAGTTGGTGGTGGGCACACTAGTGCATGTGTTACCGAATCAGATGAGGCCACGATTTTGTGAGAATCTGAATTTCAAACCTGCAAGACAGGTGGGGGCAGGGTAAACCAGGTGTGTGCAAAAGCAGCTGCTGTCTGCTTCTGGAAGAGTTGCCTTTGGTCTCAAGGCATCGCGCCAGATGAAGGGGACATGGGTACGCTAGACACTGGGCCAAGATACATGGCTTCTTAGTGCCCAGCTGTATTCTTACATTAACAGTGAGCTGGTGCGGCCCTAGGGAGCCCAGTCCCGCCTTTCCTTTCCCTGGCAACTCCGCTTTCTAGAAAACATTAGAGAAAGGGCTTATATGTAAGGCTACCCAGGGGCAGCAGAGGTTACTAAGCAACTGACCCCTGAAGTGCAGGCTCGGTTACAGTCTGAAACCAGAACGTGGATGGGAAGGTAGGCAAGAAGAACCAGAAGACAACAGTCACCAGGCTCCTTAGGAAAGATCTCCACGAAATAGCCTGGTCAAACTGGAGGGATTTCAAATTTTTAGCAGTTATTTTCCAGTTTCTGACACTAAAACCATTTCAAGGCATAGAGACCATAGCTGCAACCGAAACTAAATTTTTAGTTTAAGTTAAATATGTATACATATATACCTACACACACACACACGCAAAAGCATGTAAAAGTTTGGTAATTGTGTGTTTGACAAACTGCGGTGTTTGCTTTTAGTTACAGACTGGAGACATAGCCCAGTATCTGGGATTAAGACTGTCAAGAATGGACAGGTAAACTACAGACCAGGGGTGCTATTTGCAAAATATATAACTAAGCTGTACATGACAGCACACACCTTTGATCCAAGCAGAGGTAGGTGGATTGCTGTAAGATCGAGGCCAGCCTCAGATGGACTGCACAGTGAATTCCAGGCTAGTTGGGGGTTACATATGAGACCCTGTCTCAAAAAAAAAAAAAAAAAAAAAAAAAACCCAAAACCAAAAAACAGCTGGAGAGATGACTCAGGGGTTGGGAGCACCTGCATGGCAGCTGACAACTGTTCCTCCTAACTCCACTTCCAGGGGAATTGCAGGCATTGCATGACAATGGGTGCACTTATATACATGCAGGCAATGCATTCATACACCTAAAATAAAAAATATTTTTTAAAAGAGTAATATGACAGCTAATTTTTGTCGTCCTGATCAAGTTACAATTTTCATGGAAACAAACCTCTAGCATGTCTGTGAGGGACTTTTTAAATTATTAAGATGAGTTAATGAGTTGGGAAGATCAACCACAATCCCATGGGCTGGGGTTCTAGACTGAATAAAAAGGAGAAAGCAAGCTGAGCAGTTATCATTCACTGTTCTCCTTCCTGACTGTGGATGCCAGGTGAGCAGCTGCCTCAAGTTCCTGCCACTGCACCATCCTGTCATGATGGGCTGCACCCTGGACTGGGAGCCAAAATCAATCCTTCCTTAAGAGCTGCTTTTGTCAGGTATTTTGTTGCATGAGTAACTAATATGAATTTCACAAACTCTTACAATTCATTTTTAAAAAAAAAAAAAAAAAGGCAAAAGCTTCATAAATTTAATATGGTGGCACACTCCTATAATCCCGACACCAAAGAGGCTGAGGCAGAGGACTGCAAGTTCAAGGCTAGCCTAGAATCTAGAGCAAGACCCTGTCTCCAAAAGGGGTTGAGGTGAGGACTCAAATGACTCATAAAATACAAACTAGGTTTTGCTTATCACAATGGGGAAGGAAAGAATATATAACACAGATCATGTTGGTTAGGGGTATAAGACACTGCAGGGCAGGAGATGGCTCAGCGGTTAAGAACACTGGCTGTTCTAGCAGAGGACCTAGGTTCAGCACCCACATGGCAGCTAACAACCACGCATGTCCAAAACTCCAGCTCCAAGGAATCCCAACACCCACCCTCTTCTGACCTCTGTGAGCATTTCATGACATTGGTCACTCAAAGTCTTCGACAAGGGCCAGTGGGGTAAAGACACTTGCTGCCAAGCCTTACAACTTGAGTTCAATCTCTAGGACCCTCACAGTAGAAAGAACCAACTCCCATAATTGTGCTCTGACCTCCGTAAATGCACCAGGCAATTGCACACCCACAGCCCACACAGAATAAATGTAAAAGTGGTTTTAAAAGTCCAGGATAATATAAAGTGTGATACTTTTCTTTTTGCTTCCCTGCACTCCTACAATAGACATACATCACACATATTTTGTGCTTTTAGGGTTAGTAAAAATTGAGTTCAAGCTGGGTGTGGTGGCCTTTAATCCCAGCTCGTGGGAGGCAGAAGCAGGTGGATCTTTTCGAGTTCGAGGCCAGCCTGGTCTACCTAGTAAGTTCCAGGACAGCTGGGGCTACAGAGAGACTCTGTCTCAAAAAGAAAAGGAAAAAAAAAGAAAAATTGAGTTCAATATAAAGAGCCCCATTACAAGATATCAGAGCACAAACATTTTCTAAGTGATGAGCTTAAACCAGAGTTGATTTTCTTTTGGAATAATTGTTAAAAAACTAAGTTCTCACCTGGCATGGTGGCACACGCCTTTAATCCCAGCACTCGGGAGGCAGAAGCAGGCAGATCTCTGAGTTCAAGGACAGCCTGGTCTACATATCAAGTTCCAGGTCAGCTGAGGACACAGGGAGACTGCCTCAAAAAGTCAAAAAACAAGCCAGGCATGGTGGCACACATCTGTAGTCCCAGCACTTAGGAGGCAGAAGCAGGTAGATCTCTGTGAGTTCAAGGCCAGCCTGGTCTACATAGTGAGTTCTAGGATAGCTGGGGCTACAGGGAGACCCTGTGTCAAAAAAAAAAAAAAAAAAGACAAACTTTTTTTTAATTAAAAAAATTTTTTTTAATTAAAAAATTAAGTTCTTTTTTAGCAAAGAGGCCAGGAAGATCAGACCTCTTCAAGTATTTCCCACCCTCAAGCCTCTGAATGGTTTGAGACCCTTCCCTCAATAAAAGAATTAAGTTCATGTAAATGAGGAAGCAAATAGAAATAAAATTACATGAAACCAAGTATCAAAATAACTATAATTTTTGTTCCACTAGCTACTTCAATATAAGTAAAATCAGTTAACCAAAATCATTTTATTTTTAAAAAAACACAATCTTTTTTCAAGTAACCATGATTAGTTTAGAAAAATGGGTGTACACCTTCAAAGTATTTCCCTTTAATGGGAAACTTAGCATTACTGAATCTAAACATTAAAGATAAAATAAACAGAATCAAGGAAATCCATTCATACTTCAGGCCCTTCTCCTCCAGGAACCAGCTGCATTGGAGAAAAGAAATGTTTATTAACAACACTATCACACCATCTAAACACCCCTAAGGATTTCTCATGCACCAAAGCCACCTTTGCCTGCTCCCTCTCCTTCACAGTCCCATCTTCCCCAAGTCATTAGTATCTATTAACAATCCCAATGTTATTGATTGATACTTAAGTGTCTCAACAAAGATTCCTGACAAAGTAAAAGATTAAAAAGACTAAGCAAGGCCGGACTAAAGCAAAGTCTCAAAAAGACCAAAAAAAAGAAAAGAAAAGAAAAGAAAAAGACTAAGCAAACTAATGTGTTTGGCATCAATGCCTTTCCATAGCTGCTCTGGGGCACCGACCATCAAAGGATCCCTTTTCCATCTTAAGCAACACTAGGCCTTGGTGAACTAAGCAGCAGTACAATCCCTGCCCCACATAAATAAGCTAATACCTAAAGAAAATAGCTTTAATGTCTTACCATTGTTATATTATTTCCATTTAGCAAAATCTGATCTAATTTAGTAATCCTTCTTCCTTCTGGTGTAATTTCACTAAATAAATAGATAAAATAGAATCAGGATACACAGGTAATAAAAGCAAACACCTGAGAGACACTCTCCCTAACAGTTATTCTTGGTGTAAGGAACATAGTTTTGTGGTACAGAACACATACAAGGCCCTGGGTTCAATCCCTAGCACCAAAAATATTCTTATATATGACAACTGTGAGGCCAAGCAATTATATTAGTCATTTTCAGGAAGAGACACTGTCGACTGGATAATGTTCACTCACCCAAGGCTCAAAGCAGACTGACCTAAGGTCCATAGCCCTGATGCTTCTTCCTGAAAAGATGCTGCAACTAGCCAAGGAGATCCAATTTGAAATCAAGTATTTAGAAGTCATATTCTTTTTTTATTACTTTTTCATTTTTTAAGTTACTAATTTTTATCTGTATGTTTTGCCTGCATGTATGTAATGCACCCATGTGTGCAATGCCTGTGGAGGTCAGATGAGGGTGTAGGATCCCCTGGAATTATTGGTTGTTAGCCACTATGTGGGTGCTGGAAACAACCTAGGTCCTCTCCAAGAACAGCAAGTGCTCTTAACTGCTGAGCCATCATCTCTCCAGCACCTCCCACCCTTTTAAAAAATATTTATACTTATTGTTTAAACACATCTATTTATTTATTCTGACTCATTAAATCAATTTGTAATCAAATCAATTCTGAAAACAGAAACACTCGTTATGTTCTTTATAATGAATACAACCCAGTAATCATTTATATTTCAGGTTGTACAGTTAAATACTATGCTGGCAGTGTTGACACATGCCTAGAATCCCAGCACCTGGGAGGTAGAGGCAGAAAGGTCAGGAATTCAAGGTCATCCTTGGCTACATAGGGAGTTCAAGGACAGCCTGGGCTAAATAAGACACTACATAAGACAAAAATAAAAAACACACGGGGCTGGAGCAGTGGCTCAGCAGTTAAGAACACTGGCTGCTCTTGCAGAGGATCCAGGTTTGATTCCAAACACCCACATGCAGCTTACTCCAGTTCCAGGGGATCCAACACCCTCTTCTGACCTTCATGGGCATTGCACAACACAGGTACATTATCATAAATGAAGGCAATACACTCCCTCATACACATAAAAATATTTTTTATAATAAACAAAAATAAAAACGCTTTCATTACCAGTTCCTTGATTTGACATGAATCTACAATTCTTAGCTGTTTTTTTTTTTTTTTTTTTTTTTTTTTTTTTTTTAAATTCTCCCTGTAGCCCTAGCTGGCCTGAAACTCACTATGTAGACCAAGCTGGCCTCAAACTCATAGAGATCCTCCTGCCTCTACCTCCCAAGTGCTAGGATTAAAGGCGTGCGCTACCACATCAAGCTTTTTTATATAATTTACGGTAAAATCTTTTTTCATACTAATCTCACAGCAATTTAAGAATAAGAACATTCAGATAATAAGCTCCTGACCAAATCTTACAAGTACCAGTAATTAAGTTTCAGTATTAATTTCAACAAGCAATGTTTTCTCATTAGTTATTTTACTAACTCACACTATACCTATCTTTAATTTAAACATACATACACTCCTTAAATTTTAATGCTACTCACAACTCTGTGACATCTTCCAGCACCATATCTGGAATTCGGTGTTAAGAAAATATAAAGGTTGAGTTTACTCTAGTTTATGTTTTTGTTTGGTTTTAATTATGCTTAACACAATAGTGCAAATTCAAAAGGGTTTTGTTTGTTTGTTTGGTTTTGATTTTTTGAGACAAGTCTCCCTGTAGCCCCAGATGGCCTGGAACTCATTATGTAGACCACCCTGGCCTCCATCTCACAGAGATCTGCCTGCTTCTGCCTCCAGCATGCAGGGACTAAAGTCAAAGCCCATCAAACTTGGATCCAAATTCAAGGGTTTGCTGATGGCAGAACTTTACCTTCTTTCGGCATACATAACTCTTAAAATGCTATCACAAGTTCCCTGAGATACAATTATTTTTAGTGTAACAATACTCAGAAATATACTAATTGTCAAAAGTTCTTTCTTGTGGTATTAAACACGTCTAAAAACACACCATCACTTTGGCGGGGGGCATCTTCTAGAGACAGGACCTCCCTATAGCCCCAGCTGGCCTGGAATTCTCAGAGGTCCACATGCCTCTGCCTCCCAAGCGCTGGGATTAAAGGTGTGTGCCACCATGCAGGCCACCCATCGTTTTTTAAAAGGATACTGACAAAGTCATCAAATCCTAGAAGTGTGCCGACAATTTCTTTATCACTTTTCATTACAATGTGAATTCGTGATCCTATACACTTGTCCACAAGCTCTGTGGAGGGAAAAGGGCATTTTACTCAATATTTCAACCAATACTTGGGTGCCTAGCAACAGAAGTGTTGCCTCAACCTCTTCTCACCTCTTCATTGCGGCAATAAGACTGTGGTTTTACTTAGATTTGAAATTAATCACATGGAATATAAAACACGCCCGTGAGAGGTGAAGGCCGTGGTGATTTGTGCTCATCAGTGTTTCCACCCATGAACAGCATCTGACATACCATGGGCATTCCAAGAATAAAGTTTTCTATCACAGCCACACTATTACTATCTACACTAGAAACGTTCCTGTGCTATTCCTTCGCCTAAGGTGCATCCTCTGTGCTCTAAAGATCAGCTGGGGCGTCTCACGCTGGCCCACTCTGCACTATTCCAGATACTCCGGAAGGCAAGCGCCGGGACCGAAACTTACACATGGAGGCTGGGCGGGGGGGGGCTGCTGCTGCCTGCTGCTTGCTGGTCTAATGAATACCTGACAGGGCTAGCTTGCAGGTCCCTCTTTTACGACTCACTGGAGGATGTTGAGCTAAGCTCACCCAACATACACTACAGGGTCTAACCTGGAGCCCGAAGACGCCGCAGCGAGCTCACAAGACCCAGAGATGCTCACCAAGTGCGGACCTCTATGGTAGCCGAGGCCGCCATGTCCCCCATCCCTGTGTCCTCCATCCCAGGCCGCGCCCTCCATCCCAGGACGCCGAGTTCTCCATCCCCAGGTCCTCCATCCCGCTCCCTCCGTCCCCGCGACCTCCATCCCACTCCCTCCGTTCCCGCGTCCTCCATCTCGCGGCATCAGTCCCCGGGCCTCAGTAGGGAAAGACTGTTACCTAGAGGCAGGAGCTGCGAGGGGTTAGTGGTAGCGTTAGCCGCCATGGCGACACCGGAAATGGTGAAGTCCTGGCCACAGACTTTAAATGAGCCCGCTTCCGCCGGGGCCCACAGCTCGGGTAGTCTCGACCAATCGAAGGCCGATCTTGCGATCCGCGGGGCGAGGTGTGGTGAAAAGGACCACTAGAGAGACGCCCACGGTGCCCGCAGTTTCCGGGTACTTGCTGCTTACGCACGTTTTTAACCCGGAAGCCCAGGAGATGCGGAAACTCCTCGAGAGGCGGCTGAACGTCTGGCCGGGAATTCTCCCCAGACCAATAAGTTTAATCAGTTTCTGTATCCCACCAGGAACTGGTTCTGCAATTTCTTCGAGAGCTACTCATTTTCTCAAGGAATCTGGTACTTTTAAACGAAAACGATTGGAAGCCCACAAGCAGCATTATTTAAAAAAACTTTTCTACACTGAATATTTACAAGTTTTTTTCTCCTAATTTTTACTGCTTCCTTTTATTTCATCTGGTCATTTCTAGGCGTCTGATCCATTACAGACTTTTTAATTCACTATTTCTTCCGGTTAACAGGCAACCATTAGATGTCATTCTATGTTGATGACATCACACCTGGAAAACTGGCATTTACATTTCTGTTTCGAAAAGGATAGAAAGAGGATGAGTGAGGTGGCCAGCACTCTGGGCTGAAGGAGGCTATATTTGTTATCCAAGACAATTTAGCGAGACTTGTTGCAAAATGAAAACTAAAAAATGATGCTGGGATGTAGCTCAGCGGTTGAAAGTTTGCCTAGAATATACGAGGCCCTGGTTTGATTCCTAATACGAAAAAAAAGAAAAAAGCAAACAAATTATCTGCTTTTGTCCATTTCATATTTGTATAAGAAATTGCATGCTGAAGCATCTATGAGAGGTCACACAAAACAGTCATTCCTGTTATAAATGTTTGGTGAGCACCTATCATTTCTTCATTTAGCAAAATGTACCTGGGGCACATGATTTTACTTGCAGTTTGCTGAGTAGAAAGCAATGTACAGAAGAGGAAGGATCTTCTGCCAGTGGAGGAGCTCAAAGGTGAGTGGAGAAGGACTTTAAGTATATAGCACCATGAAATTTAATATATAAAGTAATCCCCTCAGGGATCTTGGAGAACTCAACTTATCTGAGTTTCAAGCCAGTACTAGGTGGCAGGATGATTACAAATAATTTCTCTTTACAACCATCCTTTGAGGCAAGTATCATGACTAAGTTACTCAGAGAAGTTAAATAACTGCCTCCTGGCCACATAGCTTGGAAAACTTCACAAAGTGACTGGAGTGTAGTGTTAGATTGTGAATAAGAGGTAGAAAGGGGCAAGAGCAGCCTCCCACCTAAAAGGAACAGCATGGCAATTGGTATGTGCCTATGTCCAAGCTTCTCTTGTTGCACTTTTCTTTAAACCTTATACATTTCCCCTCCCAAAACCCTTCCCTTCTCAAATACTTTTCCTCAATAACCCCAGTCTTCACTCACTTTATGATTTTACTCCTCCATGTCCTGGTTAAAATGTTGCTCATTTTTCAAGACACTTGCTCAAACAGGATAACTTTCTCCCACTTTTGTTGTGAGGGTGGAATCTATTATTATCTAGCAACAATATTATGAATAGATTTCCCAACGTCTTTCCTGAATTTTATAATTATTCATCAAGACACCTTCCAAAGACTATGTTCCTCAAGGCTAAGAATGTTGGGAAATGTATAGTGATTAAATCCATTAGTTCTGAATTAAATGATTTTGATTGAAATTCTACCTCCACTACAATTTTTTAAATTTATTTTTTATCATATCTGTGAGTGTTTTCCCTGTATATATGTAAGTGCACCCATGTCGTGCAATGCCCACAAGGGCAGAAGAGGACATCAGATTTCCTGGAACTGGAGTTAAAGAGAGTTGTTAGCTGCCATGTGGGTGCTAGGAAGCTAACCCAGGTCCTCTTCAAGAGCAGCCAGCGCTCCTAAGTGCTGAACCATCTCTCCAGCCCCTATTGACTGATTTTAAATTTATGTTATTTGGGGGAGCAGATGAGATGGCTCAGTAGGAAAAAACTCCTGTTTCCTAGCCTCATGACCTGACTTCAATTCTGGGGACCCATATAGTGGAAGGAACGAATTGGCCTCCAGAACTTGTCCTCTGACCAACGTGCACTCACACACACACACACACAAGTACATAAATGCAAAAAAAAAAAAAAAAAAAAACAAAGTAAAAAAAAAAAAAAAAGAAAAGAAAACCCAGACAGGGAGTTGTCATTGATTAGAAATCAAAGCTGCAGTGTGCTCTAGTGTCCCCCCACCTCTCCTTGCTAGGAAGCCAGTGGTAGGTTTTTGGAGAGGTGAAATCATTCCTATCAGCAAGAGTTCCATAACCTTTCCAATTCCCTAGGGTCAGCCTTCAAAGGTCCACAGCAGGGTTCTAATGGTGCATACACCCCTCCTTTCCCCTTCCCCTCCACTCTCATTAAGGATCCCCCTACAATGCCCTCAGGAATCTGGTCATTACTACAAGGAAATAGCCACGCCCCCATCTGTCCAGACCTATCCTGCCACTGATAGAATAGCCCCTCCTCCATGCTCGCATGGTGTGAGCCGTACCTCAAGAAACCGCTGAAGTTACTGACGTAAGTCAGGACTCCAGCCAAAAAAGAAACATACAAAATCTGGCAGCTCAAAGATTCCTTCGATGCTTGGCTACACAAGACTCTGAATCCATGGGCCTCATCCCAGTGCATCGCCCAAGACCTGAGACCAGCCTGAACTCTGCCTGAAGCTCTGCCTGAGACCAGACCAGACGAGAGCCTAGCCTGAGACCTGATTGAGGACCCGAGCCTGAGAGCCAGAGACTGACGGGAGTCTGCCACAACCGGATATGATCAGAACCTGCGAGAGACAGCTCCACAGCCGGGAGAGTGCACGGATCACAGCGGAAGAGAGAACCTCTCCACATGGAGTGCCTGAAGGCTTAACCTCTGGAAGGTATTCCCTGAGACTTTGGGACTCTTAACTGCTAGAGAACCAGGTTTCCCTTTGAGTGTTTGTATTGATGTGTGTTTGTTATGCTTTGACCTAGTAAACACATATTGCAATCAAACAGTCGTGTGTGAGAATCTCTTCTTTCCGTTGCGCCTGTCCTAAGCTCTCCCGAGAAGCAGTGACACACTAGATGTCACACTCAGGCCAGTGGCTTGAGACACATTCAGGACAGTTACTGTCAAGTAACTGCCCCGTTCAGGACAACTATAATTTCCATATTTCCAGGTGTTCTCTAAGGTCTAATATATGTTCTTTGATTTGATTCTATTTCATTTATACCTATTAATACTCTCAGTCTTTTTAAAGTTCAAAATACAGGGTAAGGCCAAAATTGTCTGTGAAGCCCTTTTCTTTACTATTTTTAATTTTCTCACAACCATAATGAGAAAATGGATCTATGGACTTTAAAAATCAGAAAAAGAATAACGCAGTGGAAATCTTTTTTAAACGTTGGAACCTCATTTAATTTTATGTCTTATAGAGTTTATAATGAGTAAAAGATTATATAAGCGTAATAATTCATCTGTAAGCCTAGAAATGTACAGCCAATTTTGAAAGAGATGTACCCTAGCTCAGAAAAATGTTATTGAATAGGTTAATGCTGTTGTAATGAAATGCTTCTTTTAATTAAAATAAAAAAAAAATCAGAAAAAGAATACCCTTATCAAATCAATGCTTTAAGTTTTACATTACTCAAACAAAACGAACATTAGCACTTTTCTTTTTGCATTGCTGAAGATGAAACCCAGGACTTCATGAATGCTGGGCAAGTGCTCTACCTACCACTGTTAACTGAGTTACTGGCCCTAACCTTACTTTTTTCTCCTTTGATAGGATCTCACTCAGGCTGGCCTTGAACTGACTCTGTAGCCCAGGCAGTCTTTGAACTTGCTCTCTTCCCTCCTCAGCTTCCCATGTAGCTGGGATTACAGTCATGCACCATCAGGCCCAACATTAGCAATTTTCAATGCCATGAAAAAGAATAAAGGTCAAGGCAGAGAGACTCCCGGAAGGATTGAGAATGAACACAAAACACGTTTATAAAAAAGTAAAACTGGGGGAAGATGGAAGAATGGGCGGAGATTTCAGGAAAGAACATCTTAAAAGGAAGTGAGCTGATGAGACAACTCGGGAGAAAGGACCGCGTATGGGTGACCCGTAGCAACCAGGAACCCAGCAGCTCAACACGCGCCTAGGCTTGGTGTGTCCCGCAGGCCCTGCCAGGTCCCAGCCGCTTTCCACCCTCCCCGCTCCCTCCTTCAGTTTTTCTGGTCCGGTAAGCCCCAACCGCCTGCAGGTCCCTTCCGAGCTCGGCCGGCCGCCTCTTCTTGCCCGCCCCCAACGCCCTTGTTCCCTCCCCGGAGGCCCTGCCCGGACAGGTCCTCGAGGGCCCTCCCG